CCTTTCCTTTCCTTTCCTTTCCTTTCCTTTCCTTTCCTTTCCTTTCCTTTCCTTTCCTTTCCTTTCCTTTCCTCCTTCTCCTTCCCTTTCCATCCTTGCACACGAACTCCAAGTTTTCCTGCTGTTTTCCAGGCTTCTGGCAGCCCCAGAGCACACAAAGTTCCCGATAAGCCCAACATTTTGCCAGGATTTGGGAGTCAAGTGGGGGAAAGGCAATCCTGAGGGGGCAGTGATGGAAACATGAACAGAGGTTCCTTRGAACCCTTTCCAAGGGTGTTACCAAATCTTGGCACAGCATTTTACCTTTCCAGTGAACTCCTGTTTTGCTCAAAATTCCAGAGTCTGTGGGACCTGCAGAGTTCCCAGGAATCTTTCCACCAGTTCAGAGGTTTTGGGATTAGAGCTGAAAAATCATTAAATATTTGTGTTTAATTTGAGCTTCTCCTTCTCACCCGTTCCTGTGGTTTCCGCATCCAGCTCCAGGTTGGTTCTTTCTGGCTGCAGTCAATGATCCAGTTGGGCTTTTCCAACCCCAGCAATTCCYTGATTCTCTGATGGTTCTCCTGTGGGAATGCTTGTCCCTTGAGGTGCTTTTGCACCAAAAAAATCTGTCCCCATCGTGGCCTTTCCAGGCATTTCTCAGGGTAGGAAATCAACTGAGAGCTTGACAGGGGTCAAGAACCAAAAGAAAAGATCTGGAAAACTCAGCCAGGTGATATGRGGTAATCAGGAATTCCAGTACATCMAGCTTTTTTCCAGATCTGCGGGTAAATTAGTGCCTAATTATGATTTCTCCTAATTGGGGGATCTTGAGAGAGCAAATGGGGTGGGGGTGACAAAGTCAGCACAACTTCCTCTTCTTTTTTATCCTCACTGCYGCTTTTTCTTCATTTTTTCACTGGAGAAAGAGGTACATGAGAACAAACTCAGCCCAGGACCCAGAATTCCAAACCATTTTTTCCTGGATCCCACAGAGGAGATTCTCCCTTTGACTGGAGAAATGCGGGTTTTCCTGACACATTAATGGGGGAATTTAATGGAATTTAATTGTCTCCCTTGGACTGAGGTTTCCCATTTGGGATAAAATCCTGATCCCAAGGAAATCAACACTGAGGCATCTGTTGATTTCCCGGGAGTGGATTTCACCCATAAATTTGGAAAAGGGGAATGATTCAAAGAAATTCCCAGTTCCCAAAACCTTACCTAGCTCTGGGGTTTTGGGATGGCTTTATCCTTGAGATCCAGAATCCAACAGAAACAGAGATGTCAAGAGGTAGGAGAAGGTTTGAGTGGCAGYTGCCTCACCTGAAATCCTCCACGAGCGACAGAATCATTTCATACCGAGGATTGTGGGGATTTAGGATGTGGGCGACACTTGGCTGGAAATCCTTGGGATCCAAATGCAGGAGAGGGAGGGATCAGTGTGTGCCTGATTTCCAAAGTGCCCAGGGTTGCATGCTCTGGAACAGGCATACAAAATCCACTGGAAAGGCAGCTCAAGCCCWGCTTAACCAAAGGGTGGCCCCAGCAGTCAGGGACTGACAAAGAACACCAAGGAATGGCTCTTCTTGCCAGGCTGGGCTTTTCCCTTGATCTTTTTCTCCATCTAAATCAATCCTTCCTCCTTGAGAGCTGCGGGGAAGGAGYGATCAAAAAATCCTGGGATGCTTTGGGTTGGAAGGGAGCTTTAAGGCTCCTCAGTTTTGGTTCTGTGGGCAGAACTTCCACTATCCCAGGTGCTCCAAGCCCTGTCCAAGCTGGCCTGGGAGCAGAAGCCATTTGCTGTGAAAGGTGGGATATCCAGAAGTCCAGGTTGGATGAGGTGGAGCAGGTGGGACAGGGAAGTTGCTGGTGGCAGAAGAGGAAGGGTAGGCATGGCCGAGCACCAAACCCATCCCGTACTCCAAATCCTTGGCCAATCTCTTCCCATCAGGATCCATGAGGAGACAAACCTGCTGCTAAACCCCTCTGCTTCATCTCTGCAGCTTCAGGATGGCCCAGCTATKGTGGTCACCACAAGTGATGGGCTCTGGGCTTTGGAAAAGGGCTTTTTCTGGGATATTGCCTCYTTTTTCCACTCAGAGCAGGAGGGGGAGGAGCTGGGGGTGGTTTTCGCTCTCCAGCACTGAAGTGGGTTTGGAGAAGAGGGACAACCCCCAAAAACCTGAAGGATCCAAGCGTGATTCCAGGGGCATTGCAGGCAGGAATTTGGTTTACATTCCTCCGCTTCTGCTTTCTGCATGGACCAAAGTGAGGGGCAGGAAAAGGCGAGCCACAGGTGTATGTAAAAGGGAATTCCAATAAAAAGAAACCTTTATTGATTCTCACYGAATCCTTCTCCTGTGTCTTCTCCTGTCGGTGGGACTCAGAAGCTCAAAAATGCTGCTGGGACACACTTGGGTGGGGGTTGATTCCTCCTTTGGGATCGTGGGGAAGGAGCTCCATGGGCTCTTCCAGCTCCTGAAAGATGGGAGTGAGTTTCCCTGGAAATCCTTTGGGAAGATCTCACAGTGAGGGGTTTCAGAAGCTCTTTAGGCCTGTGATTTTCAGGAGCACTGGGAACAATCCTGCTCAGCTCCCAGGAGTTCTGGAGCTGCTGTAATTCCACTTATCCTTGTACCTGGTTTAGCTCCTCCAGGCAGAGAATCCCAGAAGGGTTTGGCTTGGAAGGGACCTTGAAGGTCATGGAATTCCAATTCCACACGTAGGGACACCTCCCGCTTTCCCAGATTCCTCCCAGCCCTGTCCCACCCAGACTGGTTTGTGGGGGTAGAAGGGTCCTAATCTCACATGAAATAGGATTCACCACTCATTTGGGCCTCATGAAGTCATGGATCCTGAAGCTTTGGAATGGCCAGACCAAAAGGRAAGGGCTGCAGGAGGAATGAGTTCCAGAGGAAGCAGGGAAATGCTGAGCAGCCAAAGCAGCGGGATCACATTCCATGGAGGTCTCCCCCACTTTCCCTGGGATTCAATTTCAGGTGTCCCATTCCAGCCTCCTCCCTGTGCAGGGCAGAGCTCCAGGGAATCTCCCTGCACTGTGGATGGGACGAGGGGCCCCTGGTGCCACCGATCACAGGAGGGGATCAGGTGATGTGGGAACATCCTTTAATCACCACCAGGACAACACTGGGACAGCGGGGTCGGAGGGCTCCATGCTGGGGGAGGCASCAAAGGGACACTTGGCCACTTCAACTTTCACCAACGCTTTAAAATATTGCCACTGATTCATTTTTATTCCTCAATTTTCTGCTGCTTTTCCCAGMTGGGATTTAGGGCCACGCTCAGGGAGATGCTGTGCAGCCTTGTACCCAGGGAAAGTTAAGGAAAATTACGGGGGAAAGGCTCAGCTTAATGTGGGATGAGGGGAAGGCTCAGATTTACTGGACTGGGTCACTCAAGGTACTGTTTTCCATAAATTTGGTTCATGGAAGTGGCTTTGGAGTGATCCATGCGGTTCTTGGGAAGGATGAAGGCCAGAATTGGGATTTTTTTTTTTTTAATTCTTTTAAACTGGAAAAGGGAAGATTCTGGGTAAAAGGCCAGGATTGGGATTTTTTTTTTTTTCAATTCTTTTAAACTAAAAAAGGGAAGATTCTGGGTAAAAGGAAGCCAGTTTAAGATGGGGCTGGGATGGATTTGCCAGAGAAGCCGTGGCTGCCCCATCCCTGGAATTGCCCAAGACCAGGTCAGATACAAAACAGGGATATTTTTCAYCCCAGAAAAAGAAACAGAAATCTCAGTTTGCTGGCTGAGAGAGCAGCAGCTTCAAATCTCCTCAGTTCTCTCTCGAAGAACAAAATATTTGGAAAAAACTTTCCTTTTTTTTTTTGGTCCACAGAATACCACAAGGATTAACAAGCAACATCAGCTCTGCTGAAGGGCCTTGATCTGCTCCTGGAAAAGAGGGAACATCCAGGCAGCCCCTGGAAAACAGGGAACATCCAGGCAGCCAAACTTTGAGCAAGAAAACAGAATTTAATCCAAGTGCTGTGTGTTTACAATCGAGAGCCCTCAGGGGAAGGGAAGGATTGACAGGTGCCAAAGCACTGACAAACAGCTGGATTCCATCCACAACCCCGCAGAGGCTTTCTGTGGGATCCTGCTGGATGCAGGGAATGATTTCCCTGGGGCAGCAGGTGGATGGCAAACCTCGCTCAGAGCTGCTTTGTGTGGGAAGGAGCAGAGGTTTCAGCCAGGGGTTAGTTGAGGCTGCGGAGGCAGCAGAATGGGAGCCAAGGATGCYGTTCCTTGAGTCCATCCCGAATCCACCCCAAGGTCCAGCATCCACTCGGGCAGTGCTCCTTCCATGAGTTTATGGCCTCTCTGGGRGATGGCAAAGCAGGGAAATTGCCGGGATAAAGGAGGAGTCTGGAATTCTGATTTTAAAGGCTCTGTTTAACCTGGAATTCTGTTTTTATCACTCCCAGTGGATGCAGTTTCTGTGAGTTTGGGAAAGAGATGAGAGGGAGGGAGAACCTTTCCTATGAGGAAAGGTTTGGAGAGTTGGGAATTTTCAGCCTGGGGAAGAGTAGCTTCAGGGTGACCTGGTTGTGGCCTTCCAGTGCCTGAGGGAGCTGCAGGAAAGGTGGAGAGAGATTTGGGACAAGGGATGGAGGGACAGGACACAGGGAATGGCTTCAATGGAAAGGGAATAGGTTTGGATGGGATATTGGGAGGGAGCTCCTGGCAGGGAGGTGCCCAGAGCAGCTGTGGCTGCCCCTTGAGGACTGGGAATTCCATTTTGGATCTGAAGGAAACCTGCCTTCCCTGGGAACAACCACAGGACTCCCGGATCCTGAGAGGAAAATTCTCTTGTAAAAGCTGCAGTAAATCCCCAGGAAGCAGCAAGGCCTGAAGGGCAGTGAGAGTGATTTGAGGGAGCGTCTGGCAAGGGAAAG